ATTGGTAATGGTGACTGCGTTACCCATAGCCCTATCGCTGCCATTCTGGTTCTCGTTATCATCAACACAACACCATGCTAGCACCATCGCACAATCACCGCTATCGGAGGTTGGGGGGTGAGATCGCAGAGGAACGGAGACCCCAAACCGGGAAATTGTTTTGTGTCGGTCGTGTCGTGCGTGCGGGCGATGCGAAGCTGCGTGGGCGCGCGAGAGGAATGAACCCACCGAAGCTAGGGCAGAATCAAGACAAATGTTTCTCCTTCGCCGTCCGTCCGGCGGTGGCTTGAGCTGTGTCCCGCGGTGTCCCGTAGTGTCCGCCGTTGCTAGGGCGAAATCAAGACAAATGGTTCTCCCCCTCCCGCCCGTCCGGCGGTGGCTTGAGCGGTGTCCCGCGGTGTCCCGAGGTGTCCCGTGGTGTCCCGTAGTGTCCACCGTTGCTGAGGCGAAATCAAGACACATGATTCTCCCCAACCCGCCCGTCCGTCCGTCCGTCTGGCGGTGGCTCGCGGCGTCCCGCGGTGTCCCTTGGTGTCCCGTTGAGTGATATCGATAGTGAGATCGATATTGAGATCGATGTAGTGCCCCGAGGTATCCCGTGGTGTCCCAAAAAGTGAGATCGATAGTGAAATCGATAGTGGGATCGACAAGTGTCACGTGGTGTCCCGTGGTGTCCCGTTGAGTGAGATCGATAGTGAGATCGATAGTGAGATCGGTAATGAGATCGATGTGTGGTCCCAAGGTGTCCCGTGGTGTCCCGTGGTGTCCTATGGTGTCCCGTTGAGTGAGATCGATAGCGATCATCGGACGTTGGGGGGTGAGATCGCAGTGGAACGGAGACCCCCAACCAAGACATCGTTTCGTTTTGTTTATGTCGTGCGTGCGGGCGAGGCGAAGCTGCGTGGGCGCGCGAGAGGAATGAACGCGCCGCTGCTAGGGCGAAGTCAAGACAAATGATTCTCCTTCGCCGTCCGTCCGGCGGTTTCTTGAGCTGTGTCCCGCGGTGTCCCGTAGTGTCCGCCGTTGCCAGGGTGAAGTCAAGACAAATGATTCTCCTCCGCCGTCCCGTCTGTCCGTCCGTCCGGCGGTGGCTTGAGCGGTGTCCCGCGGTGTCCCGTGGTGCCCCGAGGTGTCCCGTGGTGTCCCAAAAAGTGAGATCGATAGCGATATCGATAGTGAGATCGACTGGTGTCTCGTGGTGTCCCGTTGAGTGAGATCGATAGTGAGATCGATAATGAGATCGATGTGGTGCCCCGAGGTGTCCCGTGGTGTCCCAAAAAGTGAGATCGATAGTGAAATCGATAGTGAGATCGACATGTGTCCCGTGGTGTCCCGTTGAATGAGATCGATAGTGAGATCGATCATGAGATCGATGTGTGGTCCCGAGGTGTCCTGTGGTGTCCTATGGTGTCCCGTTGAATGGGATCGATAACGAGCATATTCCTATTTTTATAATTTTATTACCCGGACCCCCCCCCGCCCCAAACCGGACCCCCCCCCGCCAGGACACCCCAGACGCCCCTGCCCTCCACCCAACGAACGCCCTGGACGCCCTTTAAAAGTCCCGGCGGCCTTCCGGGCAGTTGGACGCCCCTGCCGATCGGAGCCCACGGGCCCAAAACGGGCCCCAAGACGGCCCATCAGCGCTCAAAGAGGACCCAATATGGTTTCAAGACGGCCCACGAGGCCCCCAAGATGGTCCAAGAGGCCCAAAAAGGACCCCCAAGAGCCAAAAATCGTCCCATTCCCTGAAGAAACGTACGCTTTTGAAGATATTAGCTTTTTCCACTTTCACAGCGTCCACGGCATCCCCAGAGACTCTCAAGATCGGCCCAGGATGGCCTCCGAGGCCTCTATGAGCGGCCCAATGCAGCCCAAAAGAGCTCCAAGACGGATCAAGAGAAGCCCAAGGCGGCCCAAGAGGGGCCCCAGAGGGCCCCGAGAACTCCTAAGAGAGCCCCAAGAGAGCCACATGAGGCCCCCAAGAGTGTCCTCACAAGGCCCCCGAAAAGCCCCTGGCCGGCCCGGCCTCCCAAACCGGCCAAAAGAGGGTTCCGGGACGGCCCAAGAGGGCTCCAAGACGGCCCAACACAGCCCCAAAAGGAGTCCTCTGGTCCGGAGGGTCACCAGGAGCTCAAACGCGAGCCCACACCGTTCCAATGTAGCTTCCAGCAGTTCTCTTACACTCCACGATGCCGTAGTTCGCAGGACGGTGGTTCGAAAGGACTTCAGAAGCCTCACAAGCGCCCAGGATCCCCCCAGGGTGCGTTGGTTGCGCTCCCGCAGGCCCGCGTATCCTCCCCGTACCACCATCGCCCTTGGCATCTTTCTCACTCTGACTGTGCCCTTCTCCTCTCTCTCTCTCTCTCCCTCTCTCTCTCTCTCACCTCTCCCTTTTCTGCCTTCTTTGTCGACCTCCTCGTCCTTGGCATCGGATGGCCATCCTCATTCGCCCGCTCCTTCCTCTGGACCTTCTCCCCGTTTCTCCCCCCTCGTCCCCCCTTCCGCCCCTTGAGCCCCCCCTCCCCCTGCTCCCTTCCCGTTCCCCGTTCGTAGTCAGGTGCCATCGCAACCGTTTGATGCTTCCTCGTGTGCCAGCACATTCGCGCGTGAACAAATCATCCTTCCCTCCCCACTTCTGCGCACAGGCGTGCAAGCCCATCGGGCGAACACCGTGGTAGCAAGGTCCAGGGATAGCAGGAAAATGAGCCAGTCGCCCGTCCAGACCTCGACGCCCCCTCTACTGAAACACGCGATGACTTACTTATCTTCCGAGTAGCGTCCAGAACAAGGCGCATGGCGCGAAGCGCCAATACAGTCTTGTATATAAATACATATACTATGTACCTATACGACCACCCTTCGGGTGATTAGGAGGTTGTGGGGGGGGGAGAGGGGGGGAATCAACATCTGACTTAATCGATCTCACTATCGATCTCATTCAACGGGACACCTCGGGACACCACGGCACACGGGACACCACGGGACACCTCGGGGCACCACCACATCGATCTCACTATCGATCTCACTATCGAACTCACTATCGATCTCACTATTGATCTCACTATCGATCTCACTATCGATCTCACTCAACCGGACACCACGGAACACCACGGGCCACCACGGGCCACCACGGGCCACCACGGGACACCGCGGGACACAGCGAGCCACCGCTGGACGGGCGGCAGGAGGATAATCAATTGTTTTGACTTCGCCCAAGCAGCGGCGGCCGCCAGAGGAGAATCATTTGGTCCGGCCGCGGCACAGCCACAGGAGGATTTCGGGACACCCGCGGGACACCGGCGGGACACCGCGGGGCACCGGCCGCTGGAGGAATTACATTTGGTGCGGCCGCGGCCCAGCCACAAGAGAATTTCGGGAAACCCGCGGGACACCGCGGGGCACCGGCCGCCGACATTTGGTCTGGCCGCGGCCCAGCCACCATAGGATTTCCTCTCGCCCGCCCACGCAGCTTCGCCTCGCCCGCACGCACGCACGGCTCGCACGACACGAACCCGAAACCGAAATCGATTTCCTGGTAGGTGGGGTCTCGGTTTCACGTCGGACTCACCCCCCAACCTCCGATAAATGTGTATATATATATATATGGTTGGGGGTGAGATCGCAGTGGAACGGAGACCCCCAACCTGGAAATCGTTTCGTGTCGTTCGTGTCGTGCGTGCGGGCGAGGCGAAGCTGCGTGGGCGCTCGAGAGGAATGAACCCGCCCTTGCTAGGGCGAAGTCAAGACACATGACTCTCCCCCTCCCGCCCGTCCGGCTGTGGCTCGCGGTGTCCCGCAGTGTCTTATGATGTCCCGTGGTGTCCGCAATTGCTAGCGCGAAGTCAAAACAAATGATTCTCCCCCGCCCGCCCGTCCGTCCGTCCGTCCGGCGGTGGCCCGCGGTGTCCCGTGGTGTCCCGTGGTGTCCCGTGGTGTCCCGTTGAGTGAGATCGATGATGAGATCGATAGTGAGATCGATGATGAAATCGATAGTGAGATCGATACTGAGATCGATGCGGTGCCCCGAGGTGTCCCGTGGTGTCCCAAGAAGTGAGATCGATAGTGAGATCGGTAATGAGATCGACAGGTGTCCCGTGGTGTCCCGTTCAGTGAGATCGATAGTGAGATCGATAGTGAGATCGATGTGGTGCCCCGAGGTGTCCCGTGGTGCCCCGTTGAGTCAGATCGATAATGAGATCGATACTGAGATCGACAGGTCTCCCGTGGTGTCCCGTTCAATGAGATCGGTAGTGAGATCGATGTGGTGTCCGTGGTGTCCCGTGGTGTCCCGTTGAATGAGATCGATCATGAGATCGATAATGAGATCGAGAAGTGTCCCGCGGTGTCCCGTGGTGTCTCGTTGAATGAGATCGACGATGAGATCGATACTGAGATCGACAAGTGTCCCGTAGTGTCCCGTTGAGTGAGATCGATATTGAGATCAATAGTGATATCGATTGAGACAGATGTTGGTTCCCCCCTTCTCACCCCCCCAACAACCACCTTATCACCCGAAGGGTGGTCATATCGGTACAGTTTTACGCTACCTCTATTGTTCGTCCCAATCTTGCCAACTATCACTACGGGCCTTAGACATACGAACACCAATCGCATGTCTAATCATCTTCAGCTTGTGGGTATGAAGCAATCTGCGAAGCCGACCTCGCTGAAAGCACACGAGTTCGTCTTCGTGTCGCGCGCGACAACCGCGCGACGCTGTGCGCGAACTCCCCACGTCACCAGGGTGAGCGGTGGACAAATGCCATCCCGCTGCTGCTCCTCCTGTTTTCTGTTGGCGGCAAGTATCTCCGTGGTGCCCCAATGGTGCCTCCATTCGGGTGTCTCGGCGGTGGTGTCCCCGTGTGGCGCCCCCTGGAGGACGAGGAGGAAGACGTGTTTCGCGGAGGCCGGAAACAAAAAGAACGCGAATGGAAGGCTGACAAACCACCCCAAAATGTTGTGTTTCGTGCCGTGTCCGAACTTCGGGTCGCGCTGGCCTTCGACATGCCCGGGGCGTGCTGCCACCTGCCCGAATCGAGGTCGAAGGACTCGCAGTCGGCGAGGTGGGAGCCCGGCTGCCCCGTGCCCCCCGTGACAAACAGCGAGCCCTGGAGCGGCGTCATGGCGTGGCCGCTCCTCGCGGTCCGCATGCTGCGCAGCGGCTCCCATATGCCCTCCTCGGGACTGGTGGCGAAAGCACGCTGGGTCTCTCTGTGGGTCTGTGGTTGCCTCCGCCCCCATAACCTTGGAGGCGGACGCGTTCGGACCGTCTGTTCTGGGGTCCGCTCTCGCTGCGTGGAGTCCGCAACTGCCAGCTCGCCCAAGCCGCGGGCCCGCGAAAACGCCGCCGACTGCCCCCCGAGAAGACGGACCCAGCGTCCCTGCGACGAAAGGCAGGACGCTTGGATGGGTGAGTGAAAAGTAAGGGTGCAGGGCTTGACTGAGGTAATAAAATGAGAGCCCAACTCTTAGGATAACGTCGGCGACGTATCGAAGTATCCCGCAACTCACCCCCTTGATGGCAAGCAAGGCGAAAAACAATGGAGAGGCCACGGGGCCCGGAGATATATCAAAGAAAGACGCGGCCTGCGTCTGTTGTTATGATATGAAACGCAAATAGAGATACGCAGGGTAGCGACCTAGCACACAGGACTGCGCAGTCTTGAGCCAACAGCGTCGGATATAGCGTTCGCTATACAAACTCTCCGTAAACCTCGTTTAAAGTCGGAAGGGGAGGGGCCGAACGCTAGATCCAAGTCCTGATTTATTAAGTCATGTCAAGAAGGAAGATCGGGAGGTTGTTTTTTTCCAACATCTCCAACAACACACAATATCATAGCACAGAAAGGACAGCGCAGATCATTAGGGCCGGTCATAGCACATTGCCACGACCAGCCGCAGACGATCATGGGCAGTCACGGGCAAATCCACGTGACCTACGAACAGAAAATTAGGGGGGGACGTCCAGCCAGTGGAACTAAGTCATGTCAAGAAGGAAGATCGGGAGGTTTATTTTTCCCCCAACAACACACAATGCCATGTCACAGAAAGGACAGCGCAGAGCATTAGAGCCGGTCATAGCACATTGCCACGACCAGCCGCAGACGATCATGGGCAGTCACGGGCAAATCCACGTGACCTACGAACAGAAAATCCGGGGGGGGAAGTCCAGCCAGCGGGCCGGACGTCAAAGCGTGCAGCGTGCGAGGGGGTATGACCAAGCGGTCAGATCCCTCTCAAAATAGGACAGAACAAATGCCGGTGTCCGGGCACTTATGGTAGCTGCGGAGCTATGAGTGCCTATGCCCGTGGCCGGGCGAGGATAACCACGCCGTAGGTATACGTGCCCGTGTCCGGGCAAGGATAACTACTTCACTGAATTGGGATTGTCGTCCTGATTGGTATCCGCTGTTTCTGACTGGGGCACCCCATATGTTGCTGCTGTGTCTTTCTTGCCTTGGTAGGACATTTACTTCTTTGCTCACTTGAAGGGCTGATTGCCCTCCATCACTTGCAGCAGTAACGCGCGATCGATGCGCCCCTTGGTATGGCAGCCAGCGGTCATATCTCATGTATCAGACCATGGTGCGCTAGGAACTATACCTCGGTCCATCATTTGTCTTTTCCAGCTGATATGTCCCAGCAGGGCGCGTTCGGTCGGCTTCTTCAAATCGTCACTTGGCGAGGATGTGCGGACCGACTCAGCGCCCATGGTAAGAACGGCCTCAATGCTGAGAACGCCTAACTCCAGAATGTTCTTAAGTTGAATGGGCGCTAGGGGTCCAGCTGTAAGCTCGCGTGGCGTGACTAGTGTACGGTACCAGTCCTCGAGATTACGAGCGGCTGCTAGTGCTCCAGCTGAGTAGCTGGAACGCGCCTGCAAGCGATGCGGTTTGCAGTGTGCATCGGTCAGATGTACCACTGCCTTGCCATTGGGCGCGTGTCCGCGCAATTAAAGGTTAGCCCCATCGGATGTCATATCCCTTCACTTCGTCGCCATCGTCCCCGCTAAGGCGACGAGACCCTGAGTCACTGGGAAAGTCCACTTCCCATGGCGGCGTCATTCGTTGATATTATTTTCGTTGGACCTTGCTGAAACTCGCGCGTGGCAGCGTTAAGTCTTCGTGCTTGGAGCTTCGCGGCTTCCTGTGCACGGCGCAAGGATGCAGCTCGTGCCGCGAATCGCACCTGAGTGATTATTGCATGCGCCAAGGCACCGCGTAAACTGATGGGCATGTAGGATACGGTCGTCATTGCCTCTTTTTCCGCCACAGCGCCCGTGAGTTCTGGATGTTGTATCGGGCGATGCTCTTTGATGTAGCCACCCTGATCTAGCTGGGCGCGGCCCTTCTCGGTCTTGGTGCATCGCGCGGCGCAATTGGTGTAACAGTGTTTGTTCAGTTTGCTTGCGCCGAATGTGCCCTCTTACGCGTTTGACGCACTTGTGAATAGTGCCCTCCGCTCCTGTCACGTTTATGTCATCGGCGTGCAGGGCCGTTAGGAGGCTTGGGCTTGTCTCGAATTCCTCATCATGTAACGTAAAGTTTTAGCGCGAATCCTCGCGTGATGGTTCTGAGCCTCAGTGAGGATGCCCTCAGGGCGTCTTTAGCGCCTGTGTCTGCCCGCCGCAAACGACGCTGTGGCTCGTCATGGGACGAGAAGCCGGGCAATGTGCGCGGCGCCGAGGCTGAAACTGGTGGAAGAGCAAAGCAAACCATGCGCTCTTTATCTCCAGTGGCTTCTGCCAATTCGCGATAAGTCAGTCCTTTCAAGCAAGCTTCATCGATGTCCATGGATGCCGCGATCCAATGTTTCTTCCACGCGGCCGCGCCGGCAAGCAATCTCTGGCTTGCTCGGCGAGCTGTGCCTGAGAAGGCTTCTACGTCGACTGCTTCGGCGTCCATGAAGCCGCGGGAAACATGGCGCAGTCGCATTGTTCGCCCCATGTCGCCTTCGTCGTTTTTGACAAACTTCCATGTGTACACGTACCCAGAGGCCATGTCATTAGTACTAGTCTTGATGTCTTGCATATTGAAGCATCTGTTACCATGCACTTGTTACCATGCCATCTTTTGAGTTCAGTGTACACAACTGACGATAACGTTGTCTGGTTGGCTTGTATTTCTGCCTTCGCCAGGAGCTTGTCTTCCTTGGCAGCCGCAGCTCTTTTAGCTGTGGCTGAGACATATGCGCACATTGTGGTTCCTCGGTCGCTGTGTAGCGACTCGCATTGTTATTCTGCTGGAGCGACTTGGCCATGTAAACAGAAAAGTACAACTCAACATACTGACCGTGGTCGTCCGAATCGAGATCGCAAGTCTTGTCGCATTCGGTGGTCCACGGTGCCAGAAAGTTTTGGTCGGCGTCATGGTTCCAATCATAACCTATTTCTCGCGAGTGTCCTTGCTCTTCACTGGCCACGGCCACGCCGCGAGCACGTGGTTGTCGGTGACCACTTCGGTGGGCGCAGAGCACAGGGGCCCCCAAGTGGGGGTCTCGAACAGTTTCTTGCGCTCCCAGATCCGTTTCTGATTCATCAGGAATGCTCGGTAGCCCGCCGACACATGCGGCCGGCGCTGGAGGTCAGTCCTCCTCCTGGGCGTGGCCGCCCGACGCTGGCGCGTCCGCCGGGTCTTCAAACTTCGAGAGACCCCAATCAAAGCCTTCTACTAAAGGTTTTGATGATCTTCAGCGCTGGTTGATTTGTGCATGCGCAGCCCCCGTGATGTCGTACATGTTAACAGCGGTGTACTCTGACTCGCAGTCGAAACCCTGGTGCAACGTCGTTGTCGTAAAATATAAGGGTACTATCAGCGCAGGGTGCTGCTGGTAGCCTGCGGGTGCCTTCAGCCAGACGTACAGCGACAGCGATATTTTATCCTGGGGTGGTTTCCGACGAGGAGCTGCAAAGCTTAATGTGCTTCAGGCGAACGCTGACTCGCTGCAATCATCCGCGAGTTCCCCTGCATGGTCGGCAGGTAACCAAAAACCGTGGCAGGTTCCCCCGTCGAAAAACTCGCGATGAAGGTCAATGCCGTTTGCATTGCCGTCGTATCCGAGCCGATCTCGCGGACCATTAACACTTCAATATTTAATGCGCGTCGTGAGTCTGGGCATTGCACCGAGACTTCCCGACCGCCGACCTGCGCCGCTGCCTGCCCGCGGTCAGGGCAGTTACGGGCGATGGAACATGGTCCGTTCCATCCGCCCAAGTCGCCCTCGGTAGTGGCCGGGCGGCGGTAATCCACGAGATCCCCTGGCTGATAGTTGCGGCGCCCCGCTGCTGTGGTCTTTGTGTGTTGGGTTCTAGTTGGCTTTGGCTACTGCAGTGGCTTGTGTAATGGCCTCAATACTTATTTATATGATTCTTTGCTCTCGGTCATGATCGGGCGCTTCCGCCCCCTGTTGGTAGTCCAGTTCTGGTAGGTCTGGTAGGTGGGCCGGCGGTCGTCCATCTAGTGCTTAGTGTGGAGCTGCCCCGTTGTAGAACGTAAAAGAGTTGCAGACAAATAAAATTTCGCGCAGGGCCCAGCGGGCCAGGGCGTGCTAAGATCTCCGGTAACTGGTAAACAGTATTAACAGTATTTCTAGTTCGCGCGCGCGGGGCGGCCCCTGGGGGTCCCCCGGCGAAAAGTACCCCGACCAACGCCCGACCGCCGCCCGACCGCCGCCCGACCAAGTCTACTCAGAGATGGTTTTCCTTCTGGGTGCGGCCTCTCAGGCTCCCCAGAGCGCGCTCAGAGTGCCCCAAGAGGCCCCCAAGACTGCCCAAGAGGCCCCCGAGACGCCCAAAGAGCGCTCGAAGACGCCGAAGATGACCCCAAGACGGCCCAAAAGGCCCCCAAGACAGCCCAAGAGGCCTCCAAGACGCCCCAAGAGCCTTCCAAGAGGCCTCCGAAGAGAGCCCCAAAGGCCAAAATCGTTGATTTTCATTGTTTTTTTCGATGTTGTTTGTGTTCTGGCTTTTTCGGCTTCCGGACGCTCCAAGACGGCCCAAGAGGCCCCCAAGACCGCTCCAAGACGGCCCACGAGGCTCCCAAGACGGCCCCGGAACGGCCCAGGAGGGCCCCCAAGACGGCCCAAGTGCCGCCCAAGACGGACCAAGAGGCCCCAAGACGGGCCCAAGAGGGGCTCAAGAGGGGAACCGAGAACTGAAAAATCGAGCCCTCCGCCCCAG